AGACTGTGTTAACATAGCTAACTTTCTTTCTGGTAAATAGAGAAAGCCTGTTACACCTGATTTGCTGCAAAGCTCCCCCCCACACTCCCGCCTTCCCTCTCAGTCACTCTGTAGGCATACAGCCTGAATCTATGTAATAACTTGAATTCATGGCAGCTGCTAGGCATGTAAGAAAAACTGTTTGCTGTACTTTATCTAATAGGCTTGTACACTGGATTACACCACTTATTTCGCATGCAGCTCAGTGCTTCATAATTTTTATTTTCCTTTCCTCTGGCCCCTTATCTTTCATGCTCAAGTGATCACCTCTCATCTCTGTAGCACAAGCTGATAATTCCAAATGGAAAATATTTATAACCAGATAGAGGCATGCCATTTGTAATGCACATGTGTATATAGAATGTTTGCAACAGAGGGCAACAATGCACAAACAGATAACAAGGACCTGCTGTGCACACGTATTTAATAACCTCATGTTATCTGGTAATAGATAAACCACCCAAGGGAAATTACCAATGTGATGCAAGGAATTGATTTGGACAGAGCTCAAAAACAAAAAAGCAGTATAGTACTTTTCCTCCCTTACTATACCTAACTTGTATTGTTGACAGAGATGCATAATCTAATTTCAGAAGTTCAGGCTATCCACACGTAAAGCCAGATAGAGTAATGAACTTTCACAGTCACAACCTTTGCATTCAGCAACCCAAAGTCTCAGCTGCTGCCAAACCTCCCCAGGTCTATTAAGATAAATGAGGCCTACAACAATTCATGCCAGCTCACAGCTCGGACTGCAAGCCATGGATTTATTTAGTCTAGCACATGAACAGCACCCTTCTCCCATAATAAAGGCAGGAAAAAATAAACATTTCCCCTCTCAGCCCCTAAACACAAACACACACAAAAAAAACACCCACTCTTTCATTTACCCAGGAGAATCTAGTACAGAGGAGTGGGAAGCACACACTGCTTTCAAAGGGTTTGATGTAGGCTGCTTTGATTCATTCTCAGGTCCTCTCACAAATACCATGTCTATGCAGGGGAAGAACTTAGGAGGACACTCCATTGAATTCTCTTGCTAGTTGTAAGGTCCTGGGAATCAGACAGTATGAGAATCACATTCCACTTCAAAACAGTAATCAGTAAACTAGCACACCTCCCAACACAAAACAGGCTTTGCAGAAGAGACCTGTGCCAGCCACTATTGTTTCAGAGATCTACCAGACATGTACACTACTCTGGTTCATTTTTTTTTTTTTCTAAATGATGCACAGTTCCAATCCCAGACATGAAAGTGGGATACCACCCTCCAGATCATTAAGTCCTACCCGAAATATTGCTGTGTCTTAATAAATCCCAATAGTACGGGAAGAAAAATGAAAATAATCTTTTGGAAATCATGACAGCTGACCACCACGTTATGGAGGAGGGGAATACTGGAGACAGAAATATTACATCTGTTATTTTTTTGTTAGCACTATTCTCTTGTAGTAATGTCTTTATAGCAAGGGCTATAAATACCTTTTATTTCCCTTTTATTATTTATTGAGTACTGTTCAAAAACAGTACTCAATTTCCACCCTAAGGTGCATCCTGTCATTAGTATCACTGAGCCCACACTCTAGCAGCAGCGTGTCTCGCAACATTTTGCAAGACAGAGAGATAAATTGAGATGCCAGATGAATCTCAACAGTCACACCAGAAGATGCAGAATTGGAGGAATACAACCTGGGTCTCCCAAATCCCAGGGCAACACATTAACACTGCATGATTTCCCTGAGGCTGTGACTGCAGTTTGAGCCATGGTCCATATGGAGCCCAGAGAACTCTGTGCAGATGCAAGAGCTCATCCACATCACCAGGTCAGGTTTAAAAGGCAGCTGATATCTGGAGCTCTTGTTAATGTCAACAGAAATGCACTGCAACAAGGGAATTGAACGTGGCTCTTCTGTCTCCCTAACAATGGGAGAGACTCACATGCTTACCTCCGAGTACAGAGTAGAGCTTACTAAAGGTATGTGCTAACATGAAGAGAGATCTCAGATGACCATCTCAGATGACCATTTTCTTTGAGCTCTTTAATACATTTAAGTATATGCAACAAGGCAGGACTAAAAAAAAAAGCACAAAGTATCTTTTCTTAGATAACAAAATTCCAAAATTAAGAGTTTACAAC